CCAATATGCGAACTAAAAGTAAACCTATTTCAACTCTATTTACATTCACAGTGGATCTCAGTAATAACCTTTTTTATGACGTCAAACTGAATTGCAGTTAATATCTCATCTTCGTTGAGTTGTTGAAGCATATATTTTTGGTTTCCAGGAATAGAAAATTCGCAACTTAAAATAGTCCACCTATGGGCAACATAGTTTTTTCTGGTTATGTCAACGAATTCGACTACATCCTCAACATTATTTTTCACAAACTGCTTGTAGATTGGTTTCAACATAGTATGATCAAGGGAGTTATACAAGTTTAAAATTAGTCTAAGTGGAATAGCTGGTAATGTACCTCCAGCAATTCATGTACCTTTAGTAAATGAAGCACTGTTGGGTTAATCATTCCGTTTAGACTTCATGAAAGCATCTGTTGGTCTCTGAGTTTATTCAAAGACATTATTACTCAGACCTTTCTGGTCAGTAAGCTTTTGGAGTTTTAGGTTATCATCCAAGATGTCACTCTCATTACTGACGAGAACAGCTCCATATTTTTGATCAGGTTTCGTAATTTATAAATTTTCATATCTCTGGAGCATGTTAATGAATTCAGACATGGTAAGCAAGGACTTTGGTTATTTGAATGCAACCAGCAAAGGATAATGACTGGTTTTTCCAATAGTCTTTAGTATGTAATCACATTTTAAGAAGTAATATTATTCGAATATCTGTTGATCATACACAGTCAATGTTTGTTTGGTAATTTGTTCATCAAACGATATCCAGTACTACTCAGTCCAATGTATACAAACCTGGTTATTAATCATTGCAGATTATATGAAGTTATAGCTTTCTGATATCACTTCGATTTACTTTGGGTGTTAAATAAATTCTCACCTACTGTCTTTGTGTTCTTATCTATTCCATGCTATTCGAAATTTCCAGTAGTAAATATTAAGTCAGTTAAATGTTCTGCGAACACAAAAGCTTTCACAAGCTTCTTTGTTTGAAAACATAATGGAACTTGTTTACTTAATTTTATAACAGGAATGCTAATTCCATTAGTGGTCATGTAGATGCTTAGAAATTAACTTTCCATGAAATTTTAAAAGAATGAAACTTAAATTTCTTGACTTTGCTCATTAGTTCTACCAGAACTCATAACAACTAAAACATATAATTAAATCAGTTTTTAACTTCTAAACTCATTCAGTAAATTTTTCTGCAACTTATTAAATGGATTCTACAGAAAGTTATCAAATATGCCTTAAAACTTCAAAAATTCATAAACAGTTGTGCATGCAATATAAATCTACTAGAGAGAATAGTTGACGTAGTTCTGAAATTTTAACTCGATAAACCAATAGTGACTGTTCCCTGTAATAATTTACTCAATTGATTACCAATCTTACATTTAATGAGAAATAGAAATGTCTGACTTAAGCTTAAAAGTTTAGTTACCATTATGATACATTTCTGTCAAACACTAACCAAGGTTTTAAATGGTCTGAAGTAGTAGACAGAAAACCCTTGATCTAAGTTTCGTGGTATTTAACACTCGTTAGCACTAGGAGTAGAGAGGAAGTGCTGGTTTGTTTTGGAGTATGTACACAGAATGTTTATTCTTTATTCTTGCTTAAGTACCTACAAAAGCCTGGACTTATGATTTCGATTCAAGATAAGTTTAGGAATTAAAACATCAGCTTGTTGCATAAAGAGAAACAGATTGATATTTGTCAGTTAAAATCAATGGATATTTTAGTTCTGCCTGGTTTCATGTTCAGTGTACTATCAAAATGATGTTGGTAATAATTATTAAACCGATACTGAAGATTAGTATGTTTAATAAGGTCTGATCGCACTACATGAACTACTAAATTCAGGAAAGGTCACTATAGTTATCTTCAAGTTTGACAAAGAAGTATTTGGGGATTATTATTACTATTAATACCAAGAATAATTAGTAAAAATAACTCAGGTCTGCTAAACAAGCAAAGTCCATTTCACCTAATTTTTATCGTAGATTATACTTGCTATTAGAAAATAGAAACTTGACATAATGACACCTAACTAATATAGCTAGTTGAATCGTAGGGACTATAATCACTCAATATGTAGGTGAGTGTTTACGATAAGAAACTTTAATGTTTTTCAGGTTCGGCTGAGTTAATATTGATCTGATATTTATTTTTTAATCAACGTGCAGCACGCAGAGTGAAGTGTACAGCAACTGTGTCTTCTCACTAAGGTACTTAGTTATTCAAAACCTAGTTTGTGGAGTAATAATAAATTTGAATAACGCATGTTATTCTGCTACATTAAACGTTCTTGCTTTACTACATGAATCTTCTCAGAATTACAGATATGCTTGTCAACAACTAGTGACCAAGATGAATTTAAAATCTATAAATTTTTTGCTGATATCTGTCAAATATCGGAGACTAATTACAGTTCAGCATGGTATCAGTTTACCCATCTCTATATCCACACTACAAACTTAAGTAAACTGAATTTACTTGACACTGACAAAAAGAAGTGTATTAACTTTTTATAATAGGATGATTTGACTACTTTGAATTGATTTTTCTGGTTAGCATTCTTTAGCGAGTTAGTTTGGCTCCTTTCTGAGGGCTTGGGACCGGCAGTAGCCCCTGAGACGCTTCATGAGGAGTTATAACTTGACTAGGAAAGGTAGTAGGGCAGCAACCACTCATACACGTAATTTTTCTAAAATATCAACAATTAATTTTCATATGACAGACAGACAGATACAACGCAGAACTTCGTACGTAAGTACATCAGTTCAGGTTGCCATGCCCCATCAGCACAGAAACGCAACTGTCAGTTCAAATCCAAGAGTGATAGCGATAGTAGAAGTATTAGCAGTGATGGAGAAGATTATACTTTGAAGATATGATTCGATAAGTATAAATCAGTGAGATAAATTTAGAAGGAGAAAGGTAGAAATTATGAAGAATGCAGAAACTTAGAATTTCATAGAACACAAAGAGTGGATGCACCTGCGCCACTGCAAACGATTCTGAGCCATGTCATTCAAGGTCTCTAACCATCCGTGACTATCGTCTCGCGGACCCCAACCAGGTAGCCTGCATCTACCAACATGACACAGTCCACTTGTCAGTGACTGCATAAACTTCATGGATCTATGCCATGTTTTGGTTTGGCCGCCCCTAGTTTTCTTCCAGTCTACACCTACACTGCAAAACATAGCTCATCGCGGCAGTCGGTTGTTAGCCATCCGTAACACGTGTCCTAACCACCTCAACTGATGAAGTTTCAGCGCTTTATCTATTGATTTTCCGTCCTTACCTAGAACTCGTTTCCTAACGGGAGCACTGCTCACTCAGTATCCCAGGGTACACGAGCAATGCTTCGAATATACCTATGATCGAAAACTAGTAACCTACGAATATCTTCTACTCTCACTGGCCATGTTTCACAGCCATAATGTAAGACGGAGCGAACTACTGCACAGTACACTCGTCCTTTAGTCATCAAACGGATATTTCGCCTTCGCCATAAGTGACGCAGGTTGGCAAAAGCCAATCGAGCCTTCTGAATACGTGCTGAGATTTCGTCAGTCACCAGGCCATCATTTCTGATGAGACTCCCCAGATAAGTGAAGCGGTCTGCACGCTCGACTACTTCACTCCCTATCACTAGTTCAGGTGCCGATGCAACCCAGTCTTGAAGCAACATTTTGCATTTCGAGGGGGGAAACCGCATCTCGAACATGCTTGCATTGTTGCTTAGGGTAGTCAGAAGACTCTGCATTTTGTCAGCGTCTTCACCAAGTAGGACTATGTCATCGGCATATTCTAAGTCGATAAGCGAGCCTCCTCGCAATAGGTCTACTCCTAAAATTTCAGACGAGGATCATGTTATATCTAGGAGCATGTATATGATAAAATTAAACAAGAATAGAGAGAGTGGACATCCCTGACGCACACCACTTGAAGTAAGGAATTCCGTTGACAGTTCGTAATAAGTTCTCACTCGACCAGTGGTGTTCGAGTAGAGAGCCTGTATAAGGTTAATGTACTTCTTTGGTACACGCTGCCACAGAACCTCACGATCCACAAGGTCCAGGAAAACAACTATTGTCGGACGCCTAAATGTGTGTCTGTGTTCCAGGACCTGTCGTAGTGTGAAAATGTGGTCTAAACAGACACGTCCAGGTCAAAAACCAGATTGGTTTTCTCGAGTCTGCTCTTCACGGGCACTAGTAAGCCGTCCAAGTATAATCGAGGCTAACAATTTAGAAACTATATTAATTAGACTTATTCCTCTGTGATTGTCACAAGAAGACTTCTGTCCTTTCTTATAGATTGGGACAATCAGTGATTGAGACCAGTCGGATGGGATTACATCCAGTTCCCAGATTCTACCTAAGATCTCAGTCAACCAAGCTGCTAAAACTGGACCACCATCCTTAAATATCTCAGTGGTCAGTTTATCAGGACCTGCAGCTCGCCCTCGCTTCAGATTTCCTAACGCTTTCTCAACTTCATTAAGACTAGAGGGACTTACGTCGACTTGCCATTCAGGATGACTGGAGATCGTGGGTAACCGAAGAGTGGCTCGAGGCCAGTTGAACTGATCCCTAAAGTGTTCTGCCTATCGATCCAGTCTCCTGGATTGAGAATAAATAATAGTCCCATCATTTTCCGAGATGGTCTCACTTACACTAGGATTCCTAATACCAGTTTCCTTGATAAGTCGGAAAAGTTGTCTGCTGTTGCCTAACGCCGCTGCCTTTTTCATCGCTTTTGCTTTTGCCACCCACCACTGTTCGGGGTCATTACGTAGGCTTTTCATAAGTCTGCGCCTAAGTTGACTTCGTTCTTCATCATGTTCAGAGCCAGGTGGAATGAGTTTTCGGGCACCCATCAGTTCAGTGGATTCTACTGAGATCCACGGCTTCATTCTAGCCTTATGGTCAACCTTAATAGCAGATATCACTGCTGTTTCCACAGCCTTCTTGATATCATTCCAACCTGACTCCGGATGGGAATCGCCTAAATGGTCGCCTAACTCTATTTCTAGTTGTTCCTGAAATATATTCTTCGCCCTATTATCATTAAGTAAAACCCTAAGAGGCTTTCTTACGGTGTCTTTCCTACGCCCAGTAAGCCTCAAACAAATACGAGCTCGCACTAGAGCATGATCTGAATCTAAACATGTGCCCCAGAACGAGCGACAGTCCTCTATCGAACACCTCCATCGGTGGCTGATGGTGATGTGATCTAGTCGGATCCAACGTTGAGACGACTTTGGGGGTCGACAGGTCAACAGATGCTTTTCCTTATGCCTAAAGTTAGTGTTTGCTAAGAATAGGCGGTTGTCTGAGCATACTTGCAACAGACGGTCGCCATTGTCTGTTCTCTGAGCAATGACACCATAACATCCACCTAAGTGTCTTTCCTGCTCACTTAGTCTACCTACTTGAGCATTAAAGTCACCAGCCATTAATACTACATATACACCTATGAGTTATTAAACGTCATAAATAGGCAAACGAATTAGCGTTATTTAATTGAAGATATAGATTAAGACTTTAATTTATTTCTGCTACCCCTTTAATCATGATAATCGTAAATTCATGATACAATAACATTAAGATGTGATTATTTATCTATCCGTTAAGAGTTAAACTTAAAATGGTTCGAAAATGTAAATATAACTCAATTTTAGATCATATGAGCAATCAATATATTGATGTGTGGTCAAGTAAAAATTGCTTTCAAAAGCTTAATTATAGATCTATAGTAGTTAAATGAACTGAAATCAAAAGAGAGGATGGATAGTCAGCGAAATTATTAATTTTAACTCAGTTTAAAATAACACACTAATACAATATATAGAGGAATCGAAACATACAGTATAACTCATTCGTGTGCAATGATATACTGGAATCATCGAGCAGCTGCTAAACTAATCAGTTTAAATATCAGTCATCATTAAATCTGTTGTCAAAGATAGAAAAAAGTTTTTGTCAATAAATTCATTTCAACAACTGATCCTCATTATGCTGAAATTAACATCACAGAACAGTTCCTGTCGAACTGTATCAGTCATCACAATATTTTAGTGTTTATAACATTACGACTATAAATTGATAAAATAACTTGAAGATGATTTGTATGATAGTCTAGTGAAAAATTCACTACAAAGATATAGACAAAAATCCGTATTTCTTAGAACTGGCAATAAGATAAGGTTATCAACTAAAAGAAAACTCTGTTTTTACTGTTATCTACTGACTTTGGTTGTTGAAGTTTAATAAAGGCATTTCAACTAAAGTAAACTGAACTAAGCTGAAAGGTTCCCTATTATCGTGTAATACTATCTGAAAGTGCGTAACGAATCACTCTGTTTTTAACAATACCTTAGTGATTGATTACTGTGTAGTAACACAGTCTTATAGGAGGCCAATCATAGTCCGAATATATTAATGGTAACAGTTCAGACTGTAAAGCTGGTCAACTCCGTTTTGAACCCCATAAGATGCATCACCCCTCGGCACTATGACAGATACACCTTGCTGAAGCCTACCAATTAACTTAAAGTACTTAAAAACAATAATTATTTAACTATTATCCCGTATTCAACTCAGAATGCATAGTAATTTTTCACGGCTTGTAGATAAATATACACAAATCAGTGTTGCTCGGTTGATAAGTGACATCCATAGTAGTGAGAGAAAATGAACGGAAGTATAAAAAGGAATATAAACGGGTGGATTTGGTCACAATATAATGATCTAACAGAAGCTAACTAAATGCTTGTAGTAATTAATTTCTATGTTCAGTTTGTTAGCAGAGGTAATAGTTAAGGTATTACTCATTGTACTACATGTAAATGTCATAAATTAACAAGTTTTATTCTATCTTGATGCAGAAAAGAAATCCAGTTTTCGGGAAACGTCTTCTCATTGAACAGAGTAAGTTTTATTTTGCTGCTAATTTTATGTAAACAAAATATTTAGCCGGAGGAATAATTGCGGTAACGAATTTTGCTAATAATGATAAGTGACAGTCTGGAATTCCTCTGGTGAACAACAATTCCATTCTCATTTAACTATTCACCAAATCAACAATCTTTATTAGCAGTCAACTCCATATAGCACCTCAAACTTTCTTAGTTTGTCTTTCGAATAGTGGTAGATAGGTATTTAAATAACTCTAGAAAGAGAGCTTTTCATCACTTTCAAAAACGTCATATTTACAGACATGCACGTAGGGATTAATCATATAAAACAAGATTTCTGCTAATTTACTATTTTTAAAAACTTATCCCTCTTCATTCTAAAGTCTAGACCAATTTGTTTATTTTTTTAATTCAATAAAACTAAATATATGGTCTAAGTAAACAATTTAATTGAATAAAAACAATTTTCCTCTCTAAATTCTCTTTATTTTTATTCAGTAACATAATGGCTGCTTCAATTGTCTGAAATAGAATTGTTATTAAAAATTTTATGATTCAAAACAAACTTGACCTAGGTAAATGAAAAGAGTATTTTTTTGAATTTCTCTATTTTACTGGATATGAATAGAAATTGTTGCACTTCTCTTGAGTTATTAATTTGTAGATTTATTATTATTATTATTATTATTATTATTATTATTATTATTATTATTATTATTATTATTATTTATACTCAAGCGAAACGAGAAGTAATCTGAGATTTAAGAATTTATTTGAAGTTTCTTCATTCAAAGTTGGAAAGGACTTTTGTCCATTCGATTCATCGTCCAACAGCTTTTTCGAAAGATACATTCTTGCATTCGGTACTACTTATTTTTATCCTTACATTAAAAATCATATACGTTGTTAGACCTGTGATTTTCATAAGAAATGGATTTAGTATCTTGCTTTGGAGTAGATAGCCTTTTGTTATCACTGACAGATAATCACTTAAAGATGTAAATCATATTTGTCTGACTGAATAATCAAAAACTATGTTAACGTCTTAAATTTTTTTAATACAAAAATAAACATAAACAGGAGTTTCTGCTGTTCACAAAATTCGTTATTTTCACAAACATCATAAGTATTTGTATTAACTCAATGATTTATTTGTGTTACAGTTGGTTGACAAAATAACTTTCTCTCCCACCCAGATACAGCATAATATATTCCTAACCAGTGAAAGTATCTTCATTTGAAAACAACCATATAGACTATGTTCTGAAACATACTTTCATTATTGAACGTCATAGGTTTAGTTAGTTATTTTAGACAAATAATGACAGTAAATACATCTGTTTCCTCAGTAGTAATAAATAAACAGTTCATTATTCTTTTATATTCGGTGAACTGCCAATGTATTTTCTAGATTAACAATAGAACTTGTTAAGTGAGGGATTATCTATCCATCTATCTGATAATGAGCATGTAGCTTAGTTAAAATTAAGAATCTACCACTGAAAGAATTAATCGAACACAAATGTCGTTGACACGTTGACATGGTTTACTAATTTTACGAAGTTAATGGCCAGTTTATCAATCTTCTTTATGATAAATTCTAAAGTTGCGTTAAAAATTAAAGCATAGGCATACATCCATCAGCATTGCATTACCGAAAAGTCATTACATTACAACGATAATTCTTCAGCTGGTCGAAAAGTTCGTAGAGAAAAACTGATCTTAAATTCTAGTTTTCAAATTTCAGATTTACCTGTATCTTCAGCTTCAAATGAGATCAAAAATGAAAAAGTCAAAACAGTCTTTGGGAAGACGAGTTGAGATGAGTCATACATATATGCATATAAGAAAACTTACAGAAGATGAGTCATTCAAGTTTGATAAAGCTTTTAACCACCTGCGGCTGTCAAATAAGCTTGATTAGCAAGCAGGTGGTCAGATAAATATTCAGATTGAGTTCAAAACATAGGTGAGTGTTAATGCTTATCCAGACTTGATTTAAATATTTTAGAATAATTTTTTTTGGTGTTGTACTCAACCAAATGAGTTCAATTTGAATAACTCAAATCAAGGATAACATACGTGTAGTCTGTTATCCTGTAAAAAGATGCGATTCAAATCATTAGTTCATCTTTTTACTCGTTACTTCAAACATTTTTGTTCAGTATTATTAATTTATGGATAGGGTAGATTTGTCAGGGAACGGTAGAAAGCGTTTAGGTAAACTTTTTCCATGTTCATCACAATTCTAAATACGCAATAATTCATTCATTCAATTTTTAGCAATATTTTAAACAATAACGAAAATCTCAGTCATTTTAGACTAGCCTGTTTTAAATTTTAGAATAATTATAGAAAGATAATTCACGAAATGTCTTATATAGTTCAATGAATCATGTAGAGTTGTATATGACAGAAACGGTGAATTGTTTTTCATTCTGTCGAAAATGGAATACCAAGTTTTAAAATTTAGCATATCAATATCATGGAACTCTGAATTCTTTCTCAAATGTATGCAATACCTAAATACTGTTTAGCACTTGTAAATCCATCATGTTTTTTAATATTCTTCCAGAAGTACAATGAAAGTCTAACAATTTTAAAACTGAGTGACAGATCCAAATGATTTAGGGATATCATGTCTTTAAAATGTATGTCAAATAACTTGTAAGACAAATATGAACAAATTGTTTCAAACCTTTGATTGATTAATAAGGTAAGTGAATAGCATGAAGTAAAATTGTTAATTCCAGGGGCTCAGCAGTTAAGTCTTTATGGACAATATATATCTGTTTTCATAAATCATGCCAACCGTAGTAGGGCACCAGAATCTATCGATCTTAGCACGTAAAAGTCATTATGACGAGTTTTGAAGAGTTTCGTAACAATCTTCTTCCAAAGCTGATATTGCATATTCATTTGAACAAATCGATCATCTAAGATTATCCGAAATATGTATCTTAAGGAGAACCCGTTTCAGTTGTTGCAGTTTATGATCACAGAGTATATTTATTATTGTTATTATTACTTAGAGTATTGATTCACTCTTTGTATGACTGTGAGTGGTAGGTAGAAATGTGTTATGGCTTTCAATGATGAATTATTGACTAACTGTACATAAGCTTTTCACAATGAGTTTTGCGAATCTTTTGAAAACTGATCATTTAGCTGACAGCCCATATTACGAGATGATTTTGAAGTGAACGTTAAATAAACTGTCCGAAAAGTTAAATGGTTGTGATAGTCAGCGTTCAAGAGCTGAAACATTTCAGCAGATAGGTATATTTACTCACAAAATCGAGAATATAACTGCTTTTTAAGAATATCAATTGGTCAATAATCATGTTTTAAATTTAGATAGGTCAACTGAAACTTAAGCAAGTTAAATATTTAGTAGCTGCATGATTGTATGCCAGAAGAATTGTTAGATTCGAAAAAGTCAGTTTCAAAATAATATGAACTTTTGTTGTGTTATATGACAAATGATTCTATCTTATTTTGCCGTATTCAACAGTTTTACTTAAATCTTCTATGCTGCTGATTACATTAATTCCTTTTTTCCTTACAGAGTTATGGAGATTGCTGTTTATTAATGAACTCATGAACCAGTCATTGTTAGACCACCATTAGAAACCTGGAAGCACCGTTTCTTCCTGCTATGGGATTCATCAGCAACCCGTATCCACGACTCCAGCTGCTGGTAGGAACCAAGCCTAGTTACTGCATTCACTAAACAGGGTTGCACTCTTCTGGTCATATCTAACAATGAGTGAATTTTGATTTGAGTAATAAACAATAATCTCAACTCACTGATAACAATGGGTGTGAATCACTAGAAATCACAAATTGCATGAATTTATGAATTTCGGTCATTACATACTGAGTGGTTGAAAGATATTGTATTCACTACATGATCGAAACGAGAAAATATGATAACAACTCAATAAAATTTACCTTCAAATTATGTAAAAGTTAGAAGCGTGCAATTAAAAGTTTGGTAATGAGATGATAGTTGCTTCCTAAGGTAAACCTAAGTGATTATCATAAATATTCAGAAATCATGATTTCAGAAATTACTTAGTTCGGATCGGAAGTAGTTCGCAAACTCAGACTTCAACATTTTCCTCAAATGAAAATATTAAAGCTTATGTATGATCCGTTTACTCGTATTACGTTAGCGAGAATAAACAAATAAAAAGTATACGTCACATAATGCTAGTATACAAAGTTATCTGAAGATCGCTTATGCCAACTAGAAAGAAAGGGCTAGGTAAACAAATAAATAGAATCGAAATACTGAATTACGTTTCCTTACGTTTAATAACATGTCAGCCATCACGGTGCCCATATTAATCTGTGCTTCAGGTGAGTTAATCACCTCACGTAATCTGAGAAATTAACTATCAGATATTGGTTTAAGGCAGCAATGGTGTGGTCAAAATGAGTGGTTCTTGAGCAGAAAATTGGAGATCATTTGAGAAATTAAGGGAATGTAATTTAATCAGGATTATGAGGATTTCACGATTCTATATCAAAAGCTGGAAGAGGGGAGGTTTTAATATTTTTTTTCCTTGTTCACAGCTATGGGAATCGAATGCACATGAAAAGTTGGTTCGAATGACAGGAAATAAGAGTGTTAGTATGGTTCAAGAAAAGTTAGTTCGTAATATTTCTACTAGTTAACATTCCATAAGTAGACTTGTGGGCCTAAAAGTTCAACTAAATAATAACCCGAAAATAGTAAATTGTGATTTGGAAATTAGAATCTTCTGATTTGGTTGTTTTACTTAGGTATAATAATAGCATCTCAAGATTTAACTAGCGGGTTTCTTATTCGAACATGATATTTGCTACTCCACTCTGCGTAGTTGACAACATAATTATTCAAGTAAAAATAGATGTGACTATCAGTTTACCAGAAATATCGATTCTTGGCTTTGATTTCATTTGTTAAAGATTCTTTCTAGAAAGACAATGCAAACATATTTCAAATGTTAATTGGAACTTGATTTTCAAAGAAAAATTTGAGTGTTTTCCATGTATTAAGATTCAGTAAAACCTTGTTTTCTTCAGTTAATTTTCATGGTTAGTTTGTAAAGTATTTTACTTGAAGACAAAAGTCGTTATTTTTTGTACAACATCCATACTATTTAGTGTAGCGGTTTCTGTAAAAATGAGTCAGATTGAAGAGCCATGTGAAATCCCCCCTATTGTTAAGAAAAAATTATAGATATCTGGTCTTCTAGTCTGTCTAGATAAGTTTTAACGAACAAAAATATAAATAGAGTAAAATGATAACATTTAGCTTTATTTTAGACGGATGTAGTCAGAAACATAAAGATAAATGCTCTGTTTAAAAGTTTTTAAACGAAAAAGTTATTTGTCGGTGTTTCATGTCATATATCATATTCATATGTTTCTTTTCATGTTATGTTCTGTACATGTTTACTGTTTTAGAGATTATTTATTTTCAGTATATGAATAACTGTATTCCGGCTGAGATAAACAATAGTTTTGAATATTTTCTTTTCTACGTAAGTAGTGTTTTAGAAACTTTTAGTAAACAGTCTATAATTGTTGATCAAAGAAACCATGTGAATTTACAGGACAAATAAGAATTTCTGCTTTGAAACTAAGTCATCTTGGAAAAAACCCAGAGGTAGAATAATTTTGATAAATGTGATATTTATCGCCATGTCCCATACCACTGAGTCACCTAGATTAGTTATCACACCGCATACTTTACGTTTTAACTTTAGAGGATCGATTCAGTCATGTGTGACAATTAATTACGATCTAAACATTTGAGAAATATGTTATTTGACTGTATCGTCATGTTATCCCTGAAATCATAAGCTTCAGTTCAAAGACACCGAAATACATACTATCAGTGATGCTGAAAATTATTTTTACTGTGCCTCCAAAATCTTATCTTAAATTTCTAATGAGTATTTGGGTTTACTTTGACAATTTTGTGAGTACGTAAGACAGCATGAATTTTAAAAATAGAACACTGATATGAACCAGCGTCCAATAATACTTAGAATGTGAATATATGTACATAAGTTCGATATTATTGAAGGTCTCTATTATGTATTTTGACAATATGTTATGCAGTGGTTAACTCCGCCAGTAGAACCTTAGAGGCTACTGCCGATCCCAAGGAGTGTTGGACATGGGGTTGGCAACCCCATTCCGCCGAAATCTAACTTGCCGAAAAAACGCTAACCAGAAAAAATAATTCAAACCACTTTCACTCTGCCATGGCAGTTGGAAGAACAATTATGACGTCGCGTGATGAAAGCCGAGTTCCCTCAGGAGTCACGGGGTCGATGCCTCTTCTCATAACCACACCAACCATTCTTTTAGGTACATGGAACGTTCGTACATTGTGGGAGACTGGAAGACTATTTCAAGTTGCGGCAGAAATGAAAAGATACAACCTCGAGGTGCTTGGAATCAGTGAAACACATTGGACACAAGTAGGACAACTGAGACTAGCTTCAGGAGAACTGCTGTTATACTGTGGTCATGAAGAGGAAAATGCTTCACATACACAAGCAGTGGCACTGATGCTGTCCAAACATGCACAAAAGGCACTGATAGGATGGGAATCTCATGGACACAAGATCATCAAAGCAGCCTTCAAGACAAAGAAAGAGTACATTACAATGAACGTCATCCAATGCTATGCACCTACCAATGACTACAATGACGACGTTAAAGATCGGTTCTACGAAAGGCTGCATTCAATCGTCGATAAATGTTCACCAAAGGATTTGACGATTCTTATGAGAGACCTGAATGCCACGGTTGGAATGAACTACACTGTATATGAAGACATCATGGGACAACATGGACTGGGAGAAAGGAACGAAAACGGTGAGAGATTTGCAAACCTATGAGCCTTCAACAAACTGGTCATCGGTGTCACAATATTCCCACACAAACGCATTCACAAAGCCACATGGATTTCACCGGACCACACTACTCAAAACCAAATCGACCATATCTGTATCAACAAAACGTTCAGAAGGATCATGGAGGATGTGAGAACCAGGAGAGGAGCTGATATAACCTCAGATCACCACTTGATGGTCGCCAAGGTGAAACTGAAACTAAAGAAGCACTGGACAACGGGGCAGACAACATCACACAAGTTTAATACAGCCTTTCTTCGGGGTACCGTGAAACTCAACGAATTCAAGATAGCCCTCACCAATAGGTTACAGGCCTTTCAGGATCTACTCAATGGAGAGGAAGCAACATTGGAGAACAATTGGAAAGGGATTAAGGAGGCAATCACTTCAACATGTCACGAAGTGATGGGTCGCAGGAAGTACCATCACAAGGATTGGATGTCTGTTGATACTCTTGCAAAAATTGAAGAAAGGAGGAACAAGAAGGCAGCAATCAATGTCAGCCGAACAATAGCAGAGAAAGTTACCGAACAAGCTGCATACACAGAAGCAAACAGGGAAGTGAAGAAAAGCATCAGAGCTGACAAACCAAAATATGTGGAAGATCTAGCAATGACGGCGGAAAAGGCTGCAAGAGACGGAAACTTGAGACAATTGCACGAAACAACAAAGATGCTCGCCGGAAACTATCGTAAACCAGAACGACCAGTGAAAAGTAAGGAAGGCAAAGTAATCAGCAACACTGAAGAACAAATAAATAGGTGGATAGAGCACTTCAAAGAACTCCTGAATTGACCAGCTCCATTGAACCCACCCAACATCGAAGCAGCATCCACGGACCTCCCAATTAATATTGTCGCACCTACGATTGAGGATATCAGTATGGCCATCAGACAAATCAAGAGTGGCAAATCAGCAGGACCAGACAACATCCCGGCAGAGGCAATGAAAGCAGATGTAGAAGCAACTGCGAAAATATTTCACATTCTCTTCAATAAGATTTGGGATGAGGAACAAGTACCATCAGATTGGAAAGAAGGATACCTCATCAAAATACCAAAGAAATGCGATCTGAGCATGTGTGAGAAATACAGAGGCATCACTCTTCCTTCAATAGCAGGCAAAGTCTTCAACAGGGTATTGTTAGACAGAATGAAGGACTTCGTAGACGACCAACTTCAAGACCAACAGGCTGGATTTCTTAAGGATCAATCGTGTACTGACCGAATTTCTACATTACGGAAGACTGTGAAGCAATCAGTTGAATGTAACTCACCACTCTACATCAAATTCATCGACTACGAGAAAGCGTTCGATAGCGTGGATAGGAAAACACTGTGTAGGCCTCTTCGACACCACGGTGTGCCTGAGAAAATAGTTAACATCATACGGAATTCTTATGATGGATTCAACTGCAAAGTCGTACACGATGGACAGCTAACAGACTCGTTCGAGGTAAAGACCGGTGTCAGGCAAGGTTTCTTACTCTCACCCTTTCTCTTTCTCATGGTCATCGACTGGATTATGAAGACGCCGACATCTGGAGGGAAGCACGGTATCAACTGGACAGTTAGGACGCAGCTGGACAATCTGGACTTCGCAGATGACCTGGCTCTTCTATCGCACATGCAACAACAAATGCAAGAGAAGACGACCAGTGTAGCAGCAGCCTCGGTAGCAGCATATGTCATTATACATAAAGGGAGAATCAAGATCCTCCGATGCAACACAACATGCACCAACCAAATCATGCTTGATGGAGATGCTTTCGAGGACATAACAACTTTACATATCTTGGAAGCATCATCGACGAGAAAGGTGGATCCGATGCAGATGTGAGGGTGCGGATTGGCAAAGCAAGGGCTGCATTTCTACAGTTGAAAAATATCTGGAACTCCAAACAACTGTCAACCAAAACCAAAATCAGGATTTTCAATACACATGTCAACACAGTTCTACTGTATGGAGAGGAAGCTTGGAGAACTACGAAAGGCATCATCCATAAGATACAATTGTTTATTAACAGTTTTCTACGCAAAATACTTCGGATTCGTTGGCCAGACACCATCAGTAACAACGTACTGTGGGAGAGAACAAACCAGATTCCAGTGGATGAGGAAATCAGGAAGAAGCGTTGGAAGTGGATAGGACACACATTGCGAAAAGCACCTAACTGCGTCACGAGACAAGCCCTCACATGGAACCCTCAAGGCAAAAGGAAAAGAGGAAGGCCAAGGAACACACTACGCCGAGAAACAGAGAAAGGTATGAGAGGAATGAACAAACATTGGACAGAACTGGAGAGGGCAGCCCAGGACAGAGTTGGTTGGAGAAAACTGTTGGGCGGCCTATGCTCCATTGGGGATAACAGGCGTAAGTAAGTAAGTAAGCAAGTATACAGTGGTTAATTTCATTGAAGTGATGGATTGTAAGAAAATCATGGATATTTGTTTCGTCTGAAGATCTGAAAGCGCAAAAGATGATTCAACAAAGTCTGTCATTAGTCTGAATATAGTTGTCAGTTTATCATTAAGAGGGTGAGTAGTACCAAACACAATATTTTTTCAATACAGATTATGTATGATCACTAGAGGTGTAACTAATTTTAAGGCATGGTTAAAGGATGAAAAAACTTGGAAATAAATCTTAATTTTTTGTTTTAAGTCACAGCAACCGATCAAAGAGTAGTTACTAAAGTTATGTTAGTCAAGCCGGTAGTATTAATCAGGTCCTCTTGATGAACTTGGGATTCGGCTATTATTCCAAATGATTCGATGTTTTGTTCATTATTTTTTTATATTAATAGTGGTTGGAGACACTAATCAGGAAGCATTTAACCTAAGTTTACTATTAGTCAAACATATTATCAAATAAAATGGATGTTGGGGGTAATATTTCAGACTAGGAAGCTAGATGAAATGGGTTTTAATCCCACGGAGAGCATCAATCCCTTTAGACCTCATGCAGGCCCTACGATCGAGATTTGTACAATATGAAAACTAGGTTTTAGGTCTCCAGTAAACTATTGTTCTACTTCAATAAAACTATTCAACTTTCCATAAAGGTTGATATCAGTTCCTATCATTTGTTAAATAATTTGCCAATAATGTGACATCAAATAACTGATGCATTCTAAATGGTTCTCGTTCATCATTTAATACTGATAATCAACTCACATTCCAAGTAATTACCAGAGATCGAGACATGTGTGTCAGCTGGACGATTCCATATCAATCTAATTTTTACATTGTTGGTACAGATGGTTTAATCTACATATGCATGCATACCTAAATGCATCAATTAAAATAAATGTTACTGAAGGAACATCTTTTTCCGAAGATTTTACTGTTCTAACCACGTAATCATATTTATTTGAAACCAAAAGTAATTGATAAATCCACAAAATGGCCCCAAACATCTTTTTTCAAGAAATACTTATCATATTTCTACATATCAATAAATAAAATAATGACATGGTAGGAATTGTTTTCAAAGTTTAGTGATGACGTGAATGGTCAAGAGTTTGAAATAATCCAACCGATTGGTTTCAAACAAAACAGGATATATAGAAATCTTGGACAATACACTTAATTAGAAAGTTACACTATAAACATGTATTAGATGATCACAAAGTGGAATATTAGCAAGAAAATGGTTAACTAGAAGTCATAAACAAATAATGAGTTAATTAACAGTTATAAAATACAAAATCGTTTACCAAGTTCAACTCGGCTTAAGATTAAAATGGACTGAATTTCTGATATTGCGTAACTAGGTTACTAAACGAGCACCTAAATCAACATCATTATCAATAGATTGTGTTAGTTGTATTTAAAGTAATTAGATTATAGCAGTATGAGCCGTGGTTTATAGTTATTCTGTAAGGGCGAAGAAAAAATCAAACTAATGTTGTAAGTTAGGCAAATTAATTAACACCGTTGGATGCTGACTCATTGGTCCAGAGGTTAGGCTTACGCGTGCAAGATCGAATGTCCTGAGTTTGGTTCCTACTGTCAGCGGGAGTCATGGATACGGGTTACTGATGAGTCCATAGCAGGAAGAAACGGCCGTCCGGTGCTTCCAAGTCTCTAATGGTGGTCTAACAATGATTGGTTCCTGATTTCAACGTGTACCTGTAACTGATAAAATAATTTAGTCAGAAGCATGTAAAAATAGAGGATTAAGGAAAAAGGAACTGAAGGGGGGACTGGAGCACTAACAGAAACTCTAAAAACTTGAAATTGTTTTTCAATATTTTCTGAATTTAAATGCTTTCTAAACATTTATCAGGTTGGTTAACGTTTTATGCGCACTTGCTCTAGCTACTGAAGAGCGAAATAGTAGCAGGGTCATTTTCTCAAAATAATGATGTGCTTGATTTTAGAAATTTACATTTGCAGATAACAAGTTATCTAAGTTTCTCGATGTTGATTCAACACCATTTTTGAAGTAAAATTCATCACGAAAGGTTTTGACGAAACATTTAAAGTGCTATAGAAATGGTTTAAAAATGATTCAATGAACTGAAGGTAAATTTTGTTTTAAAAAATTCATTGAAAAATTAGATGTTAACTGACCTACTCTGGTCACCTCACTATAATGACAGCGAATCATGAAAACCAGAACTACAAATCAATCAAAATCTAGTTTACCCACAGGTTATAAGATATTTCGTTCTCATAATACTGCATATAATGAGCATTATTCTTTGTGACTGTGAGAATTACAAGTCTTATAAAATCACTGAATTATCCAAGGGTATGAAATATTCCGAAATTGTGGAGTCTGATCAGCTGTTTGGTTAAAGCTGTAGGATAATATTTTCACATACGAATAAAGGTTGCTCTGACGAGTTTGATTACAGATTGGTCAATAAATGGAGTTTGTTATACTTCCAAACTAAAAGTTTTCAAACATTTCCATATTTAATATCAGTTTATAACACTTTCCTGCTTGCTACTGTTTTCCTTAAATGTTATCAGACTTCATTTTTCATTCAGGAACACAATCCTATACAAGTTTCGAACTTGTGTTATCATGAAAATTGTTAGATGGACTCCTTAAAAGATGATGGTTGCTAACGGTTTTAAATTTTAGCAAGTCGAGGTACCCGCTTTAACCCTTTTGTCTCAGTCATTCTATTTTAAAGCCTGTAAGTTTTACTTTTTATAATATAGGTTTATATTCCACCTTTCTTCATCTTCTATCTTAACAGACCGATTGAGCATTAAAGGTAGAAAATATTTGTTAAATTAAGCCATTGGTAATCTTAAAAAATTTGAGATAAAATGTTGATTATGACTATAGAATCTGAGAGGGCTATTGATAGGTATAATCTAGAAAAGTATCTGGAGAGATTTCTTATGAAGGAATAGCTTACAATCAAATCCTTACTGGTATAACATCTGGTAGAGGTACGAAATTTTTCCTTAAAGTCTATATTCGAAATTATCTATATGAGTCAACCAAACCTTTGAAAATATTTTAATCCATATTTTGTGATTATACGCAAGTATTAATTAAACACAATTTCGAATATAAATTTTATATGGAAAAGGGGTTTTTTACTTCCCTACAGTCTAATGATCACATTTTAAATTATCCATACGATAAAAAATCACATAGTCAGTAGTTTTTGATTACTGTTACCATTTTCATGAATCTATAAATTTTTCCCGCATAAAACTCCTCCATTTTATACACAGTTGAATAAACTGATGAACTGATTTGCTCAGGACTCTCAATAAAAATATTTTTTATGTAATGTAAGAGACATATTTTTCCCCTGTGGAATCTGAGACCCACATTTCATGTTAGTTGGGACCCATCAACTGCATGTACCTGAGTTTCAGAGTTGGTGTCCACTTCAGGATTCGAACCCAGTACGTGTCACCCCAAATTCCTAAGGTGTCACTTAGGTACTGAGTTCTGAGCATAAATTGCAATTCAGTTTGTAAGGGTATTAGGTTATCTTGTTATTGATAATTTTGATTAAGTTTAGATCCTTCAGGTAACACTAACTACGAGATACAGACAAATTCAGCTGACAGGTCCAAAATCAGATAAAACTCCCATTCCGGTTCCCACCCCTGGACACACTGCGTCTATGCAACCTGGGGCATAATTGCTATTTCGAGTCAGTTGTAACAGGATGCACGTATACCAAATAAGTATCTTTCGTTTGATTAATACTTTGAAATTTTTATGGTTTGATTTGTTAAATGTTTTACATTGAGTGGAAATTTCATTAGAGCAAATGCTCAAAAGATTTAAATTATTTTAAAAATTGTAAACGAAATTTACCTCTAATATAGATTACTGAGGAAGATAAAAACAAGTAAAACAATAACTATCAATCAAAAGTATAATGAGTTATTTATCATGTGGTAAATTTCAGCAGTAATGAGAAACAATTGAAAATATTCAGTCACATACATTGCATAATAATGTGTAACGGAAATAATAAACATTTAAATGGATCTTTCTGATTGATCAACTCAATGCATTCTCGAAGTCATTGAAAATATTTCTACTGTACATGCGAAGTGAATAACAATCCACATAGAATTAGTAATGAATTACTGATTCATTGATAAAACCATGCCGTCATTTAATATTGTGGTAAACTGCAATCTCTCTTATATTCATACTATATATGTTTTTATTTATAAAATAAGTAGATAATCTAAAAGTTAAGATCACAAAAAATAAAATAAACCCACTTCATTTCACAATGTTTGTTGCTTTTGTTTGACAAAAATATGTTTATTCAAGGTAATTTTTATTTGACTGTTAACTGGCGTCATTAATTCATTTCAAAATTAAGTTTTACATTACGTACTCTGATTAGCTGAATTTTTAAAAATAAAACACGTAAACGCATGTATCAATCACTGAGGATTCTTCTGTAATAATTCATACCTGTCGGATAAGCTGAGATCTATATGAACTAAATAGTTAGCATTTTTTCTGACTGAATGTTACTGGGTTCAAAACTCAGTATAATAATCGATAACCCTTTATAATCTTTAATGCTAATATATAGCCTTATGAGTTAATTTATTATTATGGAAATTTTAGGTTACTGGCGACACAGAAATAACAAATGAATAAATAATGAATAGAAATACAATGAGAAACACTACTTTATTCCCCTCTTTATACTATCTAATCTAGGAGTCTAATCAGTTATAATACTTTATTTCACAAAAATTGGTAGATATTTAGAATGGAGTTATATATTTGTGGATAATCTAAACTAAGTTAAACGATTGGTGAATTTACAGTTAAATAGCAATATAACCTACTCATAAAATAGTTTGTAATTATTTAGCAGAATAAAAATTATGTGGTGAATTTTGTGTAGAAGTTGAGTCAGCTGAGTTTTACTCTTCATCTGTTGATAAATTATCAACATTGAAAATGTTGGAGACGTATTTAAGACTTCGTATTCTTACAATTACTGAAGGATTTATTGGGACTTTATTAAATTTATTAACATTATTTATTGTATTTAAAACACACTTTGGCTCTAAATCCACAACTTTAATGTTAAGATTACAGACAATATTTGATTGTACTGCATGCTTTTTATATGCAGTATATGCAATAACAGAAAATGAAGCTTCACTAATCAATAAAGAACCAACGGAAATAGTATTTTTTAATAAACTATTATGCTATTTATGGTCGTATAACATTGCATTTTGGTCTGGTGTTATACTAAGTGTACATAATATTGTATGCATTTCAATTGATCGATTTATAGCTGTTCTATTTCCAGTCATTTATAAAACACATCAATTATTATTAATTATAATATTTATGACTTATCAATTACTCATGATAGGATTATTATTCATACCAATAATATTTTTTAGACGTTTTGATAATAATACATGTATTTATGTGCCTGGACCTGTTGGAATTGATTCTTCAATATATATTGCTTTTCGTGGATATACATGGTTATTTTTTCAATATATAATTCCAGTACTGATTATTACAATAAGTCATCTCTTAATTATCATAAAATTGAAAAAGCGTCAACATCAATCTCAAATTCTTACATCGATTGAAGTTTCAAACAGTAATATACAATCAAATAGAAAATATGAATCGAATGAACAAAGAAAGTTAATTAAACTAGTCATTTTAACGGCAGTAATGTCTGGTCAACAAGCTACATTACATTTATATGAATCTATACGTTATTTCTTAACAATGCTAAATATTGTAATTTTTAGTTATGGTACGATTGGACAACAGATGGGTCCATTTTTAATTATATTAAGTAGTTGTATAAATCCATGTGTCATTATTGGGACGACAGTATCAGTACGTCAACAATTTACACTTTATCTACATAAAATATGGATAAGAATTAGACGAGTTTAATATATTTAATAGTCCTTTCATAATATACATTCACACTTTTAAACAACATGATTTAAAGAAAGAAAGTTCAAGCGTTCAACAGTTATATCATTTAAATGATTAAATTCAAGTACATAACCACATGAGTGTTAACTTAAATATGAAGAATAATAAGCAGATTCACTTTTATTATTAAATATAATTTCGGTGATTTATTTATGTACTTCATATTTAACATTTCAGCAATTATTAATCAACATCTTAATGTATTTGTTTGAATTAATATGAAAATAATTTTGAAACATCTGTAATATACTTAGAAGCAAGTTTTATTGATCAAATATTAATGAATCATGTTTTCAATATACTTAACTGATACAAAATTAACTTTTAGATAAAGTTACTAATTGTAATACTTAATGTTGTTAAAATGTATCAATCTACTAATATATTATTTTTTTGGAATATGTCGAATCTTAATAAACTGTTGAACTGGAGTGCAACGGTTGCGTCTGTAACAAGGGCGTAAATTTCCAAAAGCATCTCTCCAAAGAATATCGTCTACACATTACAGAAATTAACAAAGGTAAAAGTTATTCTAAGATACTGAATCTGTGTTCATCAGCTATATGGATTTGTTACTCATATCTAATAAGTTACCTATTATTTTATCTTATAATTAACATATTCCAGTTTGCATCACACACTGAAATAATCACTTGAAATTTATTTCTCAAATATGTTTTGACACAAAATTGCAAGATTCTGTACATTTATATATTCGAATAAATATTCATCAATGTGATAAGCACCTAAAAATAAAAATGCCTGATTGAGTGACAGTTTGATTCTTCCGACAGCAATAATGTTCTGAAGAACTCGGCGATATAGTATCTTACTATGTTACTGAGCAGCACACAGGTTTTGATATTTCATGAAGCATTAGTTCCTATCTCAAGGTTTGATGTATATCTCGCGATTTCAAATCAGAATTAACATATGATCTAAGATATTCTTTTGATTCCTTTCAAAAAACTTTTTTCTTCAAGTTCAAACACTTTACATATTATATATATATTAGACAAAAAAAGTTATGGAAAACAATTAGAACGAGGTGGTTTAGTTTCGGTTATTTACTTTTAATAATAAACAGTAATTTTTAAACAGGTGGTAGTTATTTAAAAATCAGTTGACTGACCATTTGAAATAAACGAGCAGTCAATGTGTGATAAAACTTCATCATTATACATTTCATTTGAGCATTGTTGTTTTAATTAATCTGATCTATTCTTCAAACATTTTCCTCGAAATTCTAATAATTTGGAATTCAATGATTCAGCATGTTGCTAAGTGATTAAAATACCGTAAAATTTATTTGAATTAGAATTTCGGCACCTACATCTTTGGGCAATTTTCATATAATTGAAATATGTCATTTAGGAAACTCAATCTTTCATTTCATTTATTCTTGAATTCACTCTTTATTCTAATGATGATTATTGAAGTCTATTCACTATTTTTTTTCTACAACACTAACTGCTGATTGATTGTTGATTTTAAATCTAATTTTCTCATGTCCACTAATCAGTTGACGATGGTTGGCATTTTATTTAAAATGACTTTTGTTACAAGTATTGTATTTTAGGTAAAGTTCGAATGTCATATCAGTAATTCACAAGTCAGCGAAAATATTTCAGCTAAGGTTTCAAACAAGGCTACTGAGATGTACACTTGGCTTCTTTAGCATATTAACTGTAGTAAATATATATTTTTCAATAACCGGATAAAGAGAATTCGAACCTACTGAAAATATTGAGAATTGAATCGATAAATAAATATATATATGTATATATACTCAAAGAGAATGTTTGTCAGATAGTGTGAGATTTAAGTTCTGAATCACCAGTAAATAAGTTATATTTCTGTGAATAATAAAATGCTAACAGCGTTATCTTCGGATACTATCGATCAGTTTTTTATTGCTTTCCAACCGAGGTGAGTATTTAGATTTAGTTAAGTTTGAAGATTGTAGTTGACTGGAAAGTATCACTCCAACAGTCTGAAAAAGAACCGAATTTAAAAAATTAAACATAACTGAAGTTTGAAAATCAATGTAATTAATTGTAGCCATAGTAAACACGAGTTCTACTGACTCACTAATTAATCGTTATTTTAAACTAAGTACCCTTACAAACATAATTTGTAAAGGGTACTTGTGATTGAGTTTCATCAATATTTGTTCGTTTTAATAATTGTTTTGGAAAAGATGAAAAGACCGAATTAATATTTTTCTGATCAAAGCAGATAATAAATTAAAACAGAAAATAAATACAATTTTTAGATTTGGAAATAAATATTGTACAGAGAGTTGTTTAGTGAAGAAATGCCAACTGTTACTGAACAGGACAGAAATGATTTCAGTGTGTTTAGGTTACACTTTTTTTAGTTAAAAATTCACATCAAGTACATTTTCCACTTACTTCCAGACTATAATTCACATCCATTTAGTAAAAAAACCTATTATTTTTATTATTTTATTCTCTAAATTATACGGTTTGATTATGAAGCTTTTACTATTAAAATTAGCAAAATCAGCGCCCATTTTAAATGTTGTTTTGCTTCGAATTGTTTCACAAGTTCTAGATAGATCTATTGCAATGATCTTGTTTATGTGTAGTTGTTTTCATTAGTTTTATAGACTTTTGGCTCCCATGAACCTACTGTAAGATTGATCTTTGATTATGTTGATTAGTTAGACTTGTTTTAAAAGAAGTTTGAGAGACTTTCATGATGTCAAGAGTAACAATGAAATCATCTCAATTAAATTACTTTAATACATTTCATTGAAATAATAACAAAATGTAGACAAGAATTAATCATTTTTTGAAACCATGAGTCCATCAATGTTAGACCACCGTTAGAAACCTGGAAGCACTGGACGGCCGTCCTGGTATAGGACTTCTCAGCAGTGCGCATCCACGACTCCTGCACCCTGCAGGATTCGAACCCAGGACCTTCGGTATTGTAGGCGAACGCCTTCCATCGGACCACTGAGCCGGTATCTAACGGTGTTAATGTCTAACTTGGTCAATATCACGGAGTTGCGCAACCTCATACACAGTCTTTGGTAGTTACTGTCTACACCCGAACAGGTTGAACTTCACTAGTCACATCTTCCCACTAGAACTCGGAGAAGATTCTTCACGAAGCTAGTCACTAGTGAGCACAGGTAATTTGCATTACGGTCGATCAATGTTAGATCGATTCATGGTTTCAAAAATTGTGTAACTTAACAATCTTCACAACCCCGTAATACAAAAATTATTATCATAATCATTCAAATTTATTTAGTTATTATCAGGTGGTCTTTAGGTATTTGATAGACGATTTAAATCATTCACATTGTCAGTTAATTTTCTTAATTGATATTTCGCAGATATTTACAATCAGATATCGAAATATTCTTTTATACATAGGGAATTTAAAAAAAATTCTTATATACATTATATATTGATAAAATGAATAGTCAGATGATTTAATGCATGCATCAAAATTTTTTTTTCAATATTATATTTCATTGAATAGTGGACTTTGATAAAGTTAAAGATAAACACAGATAAACAATTGAAATTTTAAAACTCAAAACAGTTTATTCGTTTATATTGCATTTTAAATGAAAATCAGTCAGATATTAAGTTCAGATGAATATGAATTATTTACGTACCAATGTATGTAGTTCTGTTGTTAACTTTTAGAAGAAGAAAAAACTGTAATAATTAAAATATTTACAAAGTTAAAGATGAATAGTCATTAAGACGAAATCCTCATAAACAAATCACGAAATTCATAGAACTCTTAACAATTCATATTTACGTTGAAAGATATAAATCTTTCAAAGTAAATGATTATTTTAAATCAATTTTTAAAATTTTTACACTTAGTTACCGATACTGTTATGAAACTTATACCTAATTTAATAGAGAATAATAAATTCAATTTATACAAAAAATAAGAACAGAAACTATTGGATCAACTAACAACTGACTCTTATTGAAAAAGCGTTAACTAAAGTGACGTTACATTATGTTGGATTATTCTCGTTTTAAACAATCTCGGAACAGTTACTTACGTACTTACTTACCCATAATACCCCAAATAGAGCATAGACCGCCCACCAGTTTTCTCCAACCAACTCTGTCCTGGGCTTCCCTTTCACATTCTGTTCAATGTTTGTTCATTCCTCTCATATCTTTCTCTACTTCACGGCTTAATGTGTTCCTTGGCCTTCCTCGTTTCCTTTTGCCTTGAGGGTTCCATGTGAGGGCTTGTCTTTCGTAGTTCTTCAAGTTTCTGCCTCATACAGTAGAACTGTCTTCACATTTCTATTGAAAATCCTGATTTTGGTTTTGGTTGAAAGTTGTTTGGAGTTCCAGATATTTTTCAACTGTAGAAATGAAGCCCTTGCTTTGCCAATCCGCGCCCTCACATCTGCATCAGATCCACCTTGGTTGTCGATGATGCTGCCAAGATATGTAAAGGTGTTAACGTTGTCCAAGGTATCTCCATCAAGAGTGATTTGGTTGGTGCATGTTGTGTTGCGTCGGAGAATTTCGCTTTTTGCTTTATGTATGTTGAGACCTACTGCTGCTGAGGCTGCTGCTACACTGGTCGTCTTCTCTTGCATTTGTTGTTGTTTGTGCGATAGAAGAGCCAGGTCATCTGCAAAGTCCGAATCGTCCAGCTGCATCCTAGTCGTCCACAGCATCCCGTGCTTCCCTTGAGACGTTGATGTCTTCATAATTCAATGGATCAACAGGAGAAGGAGAAAGTTAGAGAGTAAACAACCCTATCTTACACTGGTCTTCACCTCGAACGAGTCTGTTAGCTGTCCATCGTGTACGATTTTGCAGTTGAATCCATCATAAGAATTCCGAATGATGTTAACTATCTTCTCAGGCAAACCGTAGTAGCAATCCTTACGAAATCCAGCCTGTTGGTCTCGAAGTTGGTCGTCTACGAAG